TATCGTTCTCGTGCTGATCATTCTCGTGCTTATCGTTCCTGTGCTTAAGTATCCGTGCTTAAGTTTCCGTGCTCATCGTTCCTCGTGCTCATCGTTCACCAATCCAAAATTGATATACTTTAGATGATTTTTTTATTAAATAATTAAATGTTTGTTGTATATATGTTCTCATATCCTGATGAGAAGGAGTTGTTGTTCTTGATTTCGAAGAATTTGTCAAATGTTGAAAACATAAATGAAATAATTCATGAATAAACTAAAAGTAAAAAATGAATTTGTATAGAAATATTTTACAACTCATCTTCTTAGTATTTATTTTATATCAGTGTTAATTTCATATTTACAATAAAAGAAATTCTCATTATAATTTTTAGTACTATTGAAATTCTGTTTAATTCATGCAAATCAATCGAAGGATTTTCTGTCGATAGATGTATTTTTTTTTTACAAAGATAATATTCTATTAAATAAATTCAACTTTGATATTAGATTTTTAAAAAAAGTTTATTTAACTATCTTTTCCTATGATAAAAATTCTTCAAAGATCTCTATATAGTATCCATAGATATTTTATTTTTTCTCTTACTCTATGATCGGTAGAAAGACTTTGATATTTTTTAGTATCAATTTGTTTTTGTTCTATAATATTCCTATGAAAAACAAAAATTGAATAAAATTAAAACAAAAATAATGAGTTCGAATAAGATACAATTTTTCATGTCGTTTTTCCATTGTTTGAATTGTTTTTCGAAGATTAATAATAATATTTTGACATGTTTCAAATTGTTGTTTATACATCTAACAACAAGAAATGATTATAGTTTTTTAAAATTAAAGTTTTTATTTACTAATGCTTTCATTTTATATTTTTCTAATTTCTTTAATTCATCAGAATAAATTGAACACTTATGATTATTCTTCATCTATGACAATGAAAACAGAAATTGAAATTTTCAATTAAAATTATCTTACTTTATTTCTTTTCGTATTATTTCTCATATTATACGTTCGATCAACACATTGTTCATTTATTTCAATAGTATGTTTTAATTGTCGATGAATATCATGAATTTCTTTTCTACAATATTCATTTTAAGAATACATTAACAGAAATATTCTCTTATTGGGTACTTACTTAAGATCTTTATTAGATTGAAATAATTCTTGAATAACTATTTTGCTGTTTTCAGAAACTGTTTCATCAAGAATTTTATTTTCATCTTCTATAATCGAAGATGATGATGACGATTTTTTCATTGCAATATCTCGATCATTTATAGTTTGAGGATAATCAAAAGATATAGTATGTTTCAATATCGGTGATGTTACCATATTCCAATGATTATCTAAGAATTAAATCTCTAACAAGACAAATCAAGCATAGATGATAGGTGAATGTTAAAGAAAAAAGAAATGTTGTTATGTCACACACGCACAACTTTTATGAAACTTCAAAGTATCAGTCGACTGACTAAAACTATTTCTTATTTAAGTATGCATTTGAAGAAAAGAAAATGTCATGTGTACTATCTCGTGTGCTTTTAAATTTCATTCTTTTAGTTACATAAAACTAAAAAAAAATGCATATCTACTCTTCATAGTTGTCAACATTTGCCGTTGATTGAATATAAATAAGTCAATACTTGTTTCAGTATAAGAATAATAATTTTTCTTTGATTTCATTTCAATTAATAAAGATTAATATTTAATTATCGTTTAATGTACATTCAGAAAGAGAATCAATATGACGATTGAGAATCATACTGTGTGTTATAATCGTATTTCTCTTCTTGTGAATTTTTCAATTATTTGTATAAATTTATTCTCTCACTACCGTTTAGAACAAAGAAAAGAAAGAATACCTATGGCTTTTTTTTAAATTAAAAATGATGAGAGAAATCATAGATTCATTTTTAGTTTTTTTTGATATAAGTGAGTTGTTGATACCTATCAAAAGACATTAAATTGATTATTTTTCTGTTAGATATAAGATAAATATTGTAATTAAAATTCATTTTTGAAATTTAACAAGTCTTAAATATTTTATGAGATTTTAATTATAAAAATAAGATATATAAGAGATATTTGATAATGAAATAATCAGACAATATTTTGTTATCTTTAATCATATGTATAACAAATTATTTTAGCTTTAAAAATAGTTCTTAGACTATGAAATTTCCTATTGCCTATCCAAAAATGTTTATTATATGTCATCTCTTCAATTGTGTTATCTAATTTAGCGCTATCATACATGATAACCTTTATCATCCGATAATTTATGGAATTAAAAGTCATCATCGACATACAATATATACTAGGTCTTCGAAAAAGAAAAGATTGTTACTGTGGTCCTTGTAGGGCTGTTATATGAAATTCGTATGTCTTCTTTAGTTTCATTAAACTAATATAAAATATGTAATGTTTAAAATCTCTTAAAAGACCATAGTTCTATTCCAATGATAATCAATTGTTAGCAGACACTATGTCTTTTTTTTGTTTCTACATTTCGAACAGAAATTTTGTTGTCTTTTTTTTTTGATTGGCGCTCTTTGTTTTAGTTTTCTTGTTGCTATCAGTCTAACCATTGATTTAGTGGTTAAAATAAACCTGTTGTACACATTCGTAATATCTACAATAGATCTTAACGATCTATCGTGTATCTCGATAAACTCAGAAAAACTGATATTGATTGTTTTCATTAATTTGAACTTGATCAATTTATGATTTTGTGTTGGTCATAGGACAGTTGCGGGCAACAGAGCTGCTAGCCTAGCCTGGTTGCGACGTAATACTAATTTTTCCAGCAATCAGTTTGAAACATGAGATGGTGCCACAAGTTAATGAAATTATCCATTAACTTCGTCATTTATAATTCTGGTGTAGCTTTGACATTTTTCTCTCAATCGTACACACATCCTATTGCGAATTTGGATAGTCGAGTGTAAATTTTCTCCTCTACTATTGTTATTCTCTCGCTTATTTCCTACATTTTTCTTGTATATTTTCTTCGAGTTTATCATTGTTTGCCTTACCAGATGTTATTCTTTTTTTTTTTTATCATAGTTGATTTTTTTCCGATTATGCGAAATAGTGCTGATATCATCATAAAATGTTTTTAATTCAAATCTTTATTGTATAGAAAATATTTATGATAGTTATCTCTCTTTGTTTTAATTTACTAATTTCTGGAAGAACATGTTACTTTATCGTCTTCATGGAAATAAATTAAATAAATAATTGAAACTGATATTATAAATTAATGCAGAATTACAAATATAATGGATCTGAAAAATCAAAAACATTTATCGATCTGGTCGGACCTGCAGGTCAGTTCAGACTAGATTGAAAAAAAGTGGCTTGTTGGCAGTTCTAGTGAGAAATCAAAATATCATCCTTGATATTTATGATGTAATTGTTTTTCTATGCAAAAATCAAGAATTGCGTTTATGTAGAATATTGAAAAACATATTCCAGCCATTTGAATTTCAACGAACAGTTCTGGAACGTTCTAGAACCTTCAAATCCTTGTTATTAATGTTCTTCGGCGCCTTTAATCCTGATGACTGATGTCTGTAACGGGTGAGAGAAACCACAAAACTTCAACTTAACACTTACTATTTTCTACGAAAATATACGTGAGTTTCATAATAATGTTTACGAAATATACAAAAGTTGAGATTAGTAGTATATGTTAACAATATTAGTAAGATCGATCGTTGTGTTTTTCTTGTAAAGAAAATATTTACATATGTCCTTTGCTTATTAACCCTTTCGGGTCGATGGGTCCCACTGGTGGGACCCGCCATATTTTAACAAGAAAATGACTAGAAAAACACATTTTTTTTCCTTTTTCCTTAGGCAGAAGGTTATATGTAGTTTATCATCTGCTCTCTCTCCTATTGTTTGAATTATTTATTGCATAGCATGACGTTTCTCGTTAAAACAACCAAGACAATGAAATTCGTCACAATAAGAACAGAAGGCTGTTATTTTTTTTGCTGTCGCATTACTTGCTTCTCTTGATTGCTGTTGTCTGATTTTCTCGTAGCAGCCGGCACAGTGCTAATGCCTATTTGATTTACAAGAAAAATTATGACAGAAGCCATATGACCATGCTACAGTTTCATGAGAGTCTTTTTCGATCTTTACCGCTTGGTACGCCATTCGAGAAGTTGAAACCTGGTTCGAAGCAACAATCAACAAGCCAAACAAGGCGTAAACTCGCTGATCATAAGCTTGAAGAAAAGGAAAGATCAGACCACGATGTTCAAAGACGCTGTGCTGATTGCTATGAGAAAATCAGACAATAACTATCAAGAGAAACAAGTAATGCGACAGCAAAGAAAAAAAAGCCTTCTGTTCTGATTGTGACGAATTTTATTATCTTGGTTGTTTTAACGAGAAACATCATGCTATGCAATAAATAATTCAAACAATAGCAGAGAGAGCAGATGATAAATTACACAAAACTTTATGCCTAAGGAAAAAAGAAAAGAAAGTATTTTTCTAGTCATTTTCTTGTTCAAATATGGCGGATCCCATCGACTCGAAAGGGTTAAAATCAACAATTAAGGCAAATTGAGTAAAATTAATTATATATATATATATATAAATATACATATGATGTTAATTATCATAATTCAACAGCTTCCAGGATTTTTGTTTTCGGAATTGTGCTGTAAATTCCATTCTATATCTTATCGTCAAACCGAAGGAATTAGACTAAAGACAGACAGCTGTCTAAGGATGAAACTAACTCTTCATAATTATGATTCTCTTTTCATATAGTTAAAATGTATTATATCCTCTTAATAGATAAATCTGCTGTTGTCAATAAATTCAATAAATCTCAGTAGTTTCTTGTAATAGATCTACTGCTTTTTCTTGTTTATATGTAATATTCTCTTTATTAAACCGCACTCTTTGACCCGAATATAATATTGCGCGTCTCGTCAGAAGAAAAAATAATGCAATGTGTATACAGATATATATATAAATATATAAACACGTCAAGAGTGCAAAGATCCGTCCTTTCATTTTTATTCGCATAATCAGACAGAAATCGATAAAATATTTTCCTAAGAGCAAGAAACGGGTGTAATAAATCAAATCTTATCAAGACAACAATTTCTCTTAGTTATTGTTTATGATGTGTACCATCATAAGTAGATTTATAAAATAAACACATGATTTCAATTTCTTATAGAAATATTTATTTGTTCGAGATGTACTCTTCATATGAACAATAACAACAGTTACATTCGAGGCAAACGATATAGAACACTTTTCATTGTATAAAAATTCAAGTGAAAATGAATTTCTCTTTTCAGTGATTATTTTCTGAAATAAGAAATGAAAAATACAGACAAAGTATAGACGATATTATGACATAGAAATATAAAATATGATTGTAGACATAAGAAATTATATTTTGAGAATGCAATTATGATAATAATGAAAAATCAATAAAGTCTGCTCAGAATTATCTGACACATTATTTTTAATAAAAACTGTTCGATCTATAAATATAATTTTTTGTTCATTTCTATATATATATGTAAATATGCCACTCCTATGTTTGAAATTTTACATTGATTGAGGTGATAAATGATTAAGATCTTTTGATGATAAAGTTGTTCCACTTGCTGGTCGTCGAAATTGATTTGTAGTAAAATTTAAATGTCCTCGGTTTATAGCACTTTTAATTGCATCACCTAATGATGAAAATGATGCAACTGTTTGAATTGGTTTATTTTGTTTTTTATTAGGTATATCCGAATCAGTTGATGATTGTGATGTTGAACCAAATAAAGCCGACGATGAAGAAGAAGTTTTTCCATATTCAGATAAATGCTTCATATGAGCAAATGGTGTCCAATATTTTGGTATTTCAGTTACTGAATTAAATACTAAACCAAAAAAAGTATATGTCATTAATTGAATAAATAAAAATAAAACAATAATTTACCTTCACAATCATTGGAAAACATGGAATCATTGTTACAACCTTGATTATTTAAATGAACACTGTAAAAAAACAAAATAATTAAATAAAAACTTTTTTTTTGAAAATTTAATTCTTACCGATAGAAATCAAATTTTCCGGCTTCGCCAGGACTTAATGGAAAATCAAGATCTGTTCCATTACATTCTGATATTGTCTTATTTGATTGTGATTCACTCAAACTTTTTGATGCCATGCTTATAAAATTATTTATTTATCAAGAAAAGAAAAAAATTCAGGAAAATATAGATGTTTATTTTATATAAAATATACTTAAACGTCAAACTATAAAATTCTTACATCTTGATATTTTTTTTCTTTCTCTCTCTCTCTTACAAAACATCCATTGCTGCATTATAGTAGACTAGCAAGGAGGCACGACTAGCGCTTTTTTTTCTTCGTCTTTTTTTTTTATTCTTCTCACGACATGGTTGTATACAAACATTTCTTCTCTTCTGCACGTTTTTTCTCCTCTTTCCGAGTAACACCACTGCTTTTTTGCTATAGCTACTCCGTACAAAAAAATAGAACTAACTAGAAATCAGACATCGAATGTGAAGAAGTGATCATTGATAGAAAAAAACCCGATAGAAATCAATGAAAATAAATAGGAATAAAGTACCTGAAGACATAAGAAGGACAGCATTAATGTCTTTTATATAGAAAAAAAAAGGAAGAAAAATAAAATCGAATTGCTCATGAATAAATTATTCATAAGCAAAAGAGAAAAAAAAATCTGACGTCATGATAACATATGTACATCTACATATATTCTTTACATAATGACGAACGATATTCTGACATATATACAAACATACCTTTCGCTCTGTGGTCATGGGAAGCAAACTGATCAGATTGGTTCACAAAAAATGACAAAGAAAGAATTATAATAGAGCAAATATATTTTCCGTTCAGTATTAAAAATAAAACACAGCTGTTGGAGACATTTGTTTTACTTGAATCACTTTCTTTCTTTCTTTCTTTTTCAAAAATATTTACCTATTAAAACAATTCTTTTTTCTTTTTTAAATAATAAATAAAAAAAAAACTTTATTTATTAGTAGATGTATAAAATCAAACAACAAATATATCGAATCATGAACATATAACATTTTATAAATAAATACAAAAATAAAAATGAAGAATGCCATTAATTAAGAAAAGAATCTCATATTGAATAATTCCAATCATCTTTTTTCTTTTGAATTTTCTAATAAAATGTATTAAAGGACATCATGGACTTAGAAACGCACAACATCTATTCGTTGGATTTTAATCATACGCATGTTTTACCGTTTCTTGTTTTGTTAAAATGAGAATTCCTTTTCTTTTTGTTTATACTTAATCAAATGTAAAACGAAATATTAATTAGTACGTGTGAATATTCTGTTGTGAATAAACCATTTGCGCTTGCAAATAAGATATAAGATGCTGATCTATAAAAACAATAATAAATACCATATACAAAGTCTGTATTTATTTTATCTGTTATACTCGTAGATAAATCTAAGTACATCTAGAGTGTCTAAGAAAAAGAATAATAAGAGAATCGACAAAAAATATATAGATATATCATTGTTGAATACAATACCATATAGAAATATCTATATGTGACTAATAATTACTTAGATAGATCGTTGATCAGTGAATTATTCGATTGGATTTATATAAACCAATTTGAAATATATCTCAAACTTTAAAAACAAATTAAATTTTACTTTTTTTTTTTCATATATTTTCAATGAAAATCATTTTTCTTTTTTTTGGAAATAAGAATAAACAATAATTATTTTTATGATTTGAACAGCGCTAAATTCGCTGATGAATTGATTGATTGTTCGATGACAAACGATTCTAATTCGTTCATATTCAAAAGAATGACTCATTATAAAATTTTCTAGCATATGTTGTCCAATAGAGCAAAAGAATCATTTATGAATAATGCAGAGATATGACGAAGAAAACAAAAAAAAAGTCAGGGAAGGAAGTATAGGGAAATTTTTTGAGAGTTGAAAAAGTACATGTATAATTTTTTTACAAGTTGAGCAAGGTCAACTTTCGTTTTTTTTTATTTTACGACTTTGTTTCTTTTTCGTGAAAAAAAACTTGAAAATTTTCTAAAAGTGGGCTAGAATAATGTATCTATTTTTATTGAAAAACATATGTGAGCAAGATCGAAAAGTACAAATTTTTGCATTTCTTTTTTGATGATATTTCTATTTCTTAATTAATAATAATTAAAAGTAATTGATGTAGATAATAAAAAAAAAAAAAGTAAATATTGTCGAAGAAACAAAACTATAATGAAATTCAACATATATAAATATGTTCTCCATGAGTTATTGTAAACAAAAAAATTATTGCTTCCTCATCATTGTCGATACATTTTTTTTTTTTTTTGAGAATTTTCTCTACTGTTTTTCGATTATATCGATATTGCTCACGTATTTCTTAATTAATTATATCTAGAGAGTTGAAACTTAAGAAAAATTAAAGATCATATTTAAGTATATATCTCATATTTGTAATTTTTATTCACCATGGTATCAAAAAGGTCATTTTATCGAAGAAAAAATGGAATCATTTCGTCATATTTTGAATGAGTGAGACGATTTTTTTTTAATGATTCATAAAAGATTATTCATAGCTCATATTTATAAGAAACATTTTGATACAATTGTTTTGAAATTCTACAATGAAGAGTCGTCATTGTACATGAATAATTAAAAAAAAAATATTTATTTCGTAACTACGTATAATGACACACCCAATTATCTTTTTTTGACTAATCCTTCAGACTATTATAGTTTGATCTTATTACAAATATTTATTTTGTTATTGAATCTACACTGAAAATTTCAGCTAGAATTCAATTAAAAAATTGCAAAAACATCTTATCTGAATTTATTGTAACACTTAGTTTGGTATCAATTCTGTTTACATTTGATTTTTTGGATGATATATGACGAAGATATTCAATTTTATCGAATTTATTTCAGAAAAATAAATTGCTATAATGATAATTTTCATAATTAGAAGAATAATATTATCTGAATAGTATTTAGTCTAATACTTTGTTATTAAAATTAAACTGTTTTCTTGCATATCGATAGAAATTAATGAATAAGTTAAACAATATTTTTTTTTTTTTAGTGAAAATTATTTTAATTAAGTTTATTAATAAATATTGAATAAAATATATAATTTATGATTTTAAAAAAAAGATGGTTCATTTTTGTAAAATATTCAAAATAAATTTTGTCAATTAAAATAATAAACTTCTATTTTTATTATTGAATTTGTTTTTGAAAAAATAAATATACCGTTGTGTAAATAGTTTTGTGGAAAAACGAATTTTTTTTGTTTTTTCGTTTTGATTAAGTCATGCAATATATCAAAAACATGATAAGTGTCCAATTAATTTGCACTTTGCACTCTTTCTTATTTTTCATCATTATGAAATATCTATTTATTTTATCTATCGAGAGTGATGGCGCAGTTCTTTGCTTGTTTTTTTTCATGCTTCTCCTTATTTGATAACTAAACAAAGTATTGATTGTAATTATGAGGAAAAAATGCAGAACAATTTGAAAAATAATTCTATTGATTAATCATGTTTGAATACTGAAATATATCAAATTTTAAATGAAAACCTAATAAGAATCTTCCTTTATTTTCTTCTAAATCTTTTATGATAGTTGGTTGTATTTCGATTTACATCAAGTCTTTCTGATTGTTATAAATATAAGTTATCAAGAGTCAAACGAGTCAACACAGATATTCGTATTCTATTTCAACAGAATTAGATGTTATTTTTTAAAGTTTTTAGCCTTCATATTCAATACAGAAAAGTGACATATTCATTGAATAGAAACTCTTTAATTCAAATAAAGAAGTTCATTTGCCAAAAATGGAAACGACAGATAAAAGATTCGATGTAAAATTTATGATTTTTCATAACGTACATATGAGAGACGTAAAAATTCTTTTCAACGAATCATGGCACTGCTATTTTAAACAGTACAAATACTAAGTTTTATATCGAATGAAAAGTAGATTTATGCCTCAAATTGATAATCAAGAGGATAATTATAGACTAAAGAATTACAAGATTTCAATAGAATAATCTAGTACTTTCATAAGTAGTCAACAAGAAAAAAAAACATGAAATTCTCTAAGAAATTATTTATCTATCAGAAATAGCTGCATTCTCTAATGTTAATTATTTTCGTAAAAAAAAACTGTTAGATACCATGCAAAAATGACAGTACTAGAAGTCAAACTACTAAAAACAACGTTAAAGTTAACTGTGTTATTGTTACATAAAATTTAGTAATTTTATTTATAAAAAGTAATCAGCAAAGAGAGTTCTACCAGATTTGATCGACAAAACAAAAAATATCAGAATTTGATGTTCTTGTGATTGCCTATCTATGAAAGTACCAAACTATATTCTTAATATTGTAAAATAACTTCTAATTCTATTATCTATCATCATTCTATGAGCTACCCGTTGGATTCATAAATTCTATTTTCAATAAACTTCCATTTAGAACATAAAAATTTATTGTTCATGCTACTTGAAATCATAGTGCGGATCCCTTGGAAACAAAAAACATCTTTTTTTTTATGTATTTTATATTGGACTTAGATCAGATTCAATATTGTTTGCAGTTGAATAGGTTTCCACATTTCTCAAAAGACTTTTAGAAAAAAAAAAAAAGAAAAGATTATTCATTCAGAATGAGTTTAACATTTATTAAATATCATAGAATTTATTACAAATTATTTTTTAATAGATCGATTAAAGTTCTTCAGAGATAATTATTAAGTTAATAATCTTTATTGCAGAAGATATGGGGTAGGTAACAAAAATAGAAGAAACAAAAGAAAAAAAAGAAGATAATTATTAGTAAAACAATATCATTAACAAGCAAAGACAAAAAATTACAAATTATAAACGAAATAAAAAAACAAAAGCAAGTCATGATCCTTATTTTTTATTATTTAAAATTATCTGACAACATCCTTGTATTTGATAAATACCATTTGTTTATACAATACTCTCCGAACGAGTATAAATCTGTTCTTCTGTTGCAATCTGTGTTGATGATGGTAATACGTGTTGTCTTAAAGTTCCTGTTGAACATTGTGATGAATAATGATGACAACATACAGGCATTACAACAGTCGCATTAGATGGAATTGATGACATTGTATCATAAGATTGTTGTAAAGAACATGGATGATGATGAAGAATATTTGTTCGTGGAAGAAATGGTCTTATAGTATGTGTATTCGATTGAACGACTGGTTTAAAAGCACTATGACTAGTACAAAAAGTATAAATAGGATTTTCAGATGGTATTGTTTCATAAACATGATAATCAACTACATCACTACCAACATGTGGATTTCGATAACATAATGTTGTTGAAATATTATTTGATTGAGATGAATTTGAAGGATACATAGATGAACATAATTGAAAAGGATTTATTGATATTGTTGTTGATGTATCATTTGATTTTGATTGTGAATGTTTAGAAGAACATGATGATGTTGATGTTGAAGAAATTGTATTTGTTTGTTCATGATATAAATGTTGCATTAAACTATGTTGTAATTCTTCATGAATAAATGAAGTATTTGAATCATTTTGTGTTTTACATTTTGATTGATCTTGTACACGTCTGAGAGAAAAAAAAAATGAATTAATCAATCAATTCAAATTTTCAAATAAATCTATTAAATTTTTACTTTTTACACACACAACAAACAACAATATTAACGGAAAATATAACAATAGCTATTCCAGTTAATATCGCTGCAAGAATATCTAGAAAAAAAGAAAAAGATTTTATTTTTATGAAATAAAAGAATTTTAATATTCATACTTGAATCGATAAAATTTGTTGGAATTTTTTGTACTTTATTATTAATTGTAGATGATGATTGTTGTAGAACAAAATTTTCTTCAATATTTTTCAATGAAATATTTTCTTGATGAATAAACGAAATAGTTGTACGTTGTGTACTAGGTATCATTGTCGTTGTCGTTGTCGTTGTTGTTATTACAGTTGTAGTTGTTCTTTTCGTAGATAAAATCGTTGTTGATTGAGCATTTCCACAATGAACCGTCAAAGGTGTTGACTGTCGATTCATATCTCGTTCGCATATAAATGCTTGTTCTTCATTACATGGTCGTTTTATCCAACCATCTTGAGTACGTAATACACATTTGCCTGTAGTAGATGATGATCGCCATGGCCACCATGAATGTACTAGAAAAAAAATGTTAATTGTATTTATATATTATAATTAATTGTTAGTAAAACGTAATTTGATTATCTTAGCGTAAAAATGGATCTTCGGTTTTTTTTTTTTGTATAAAAATAATTCAACATTTTGAGAGAACGAGTAGTTATAGTAGGATAATTGAAAATTTCTGTTTGGAGAAATCCTTACAATGTTGTTCTCCCAACTTTTATATTTGTCAAATTCTGTTGAAATCAAAAAAGTGAAAGAGCTATATAGATATTTCAGAAAAAATTTCAATCATATTCAGAAATACTCCAACATTCGGATGCTTCGCTGATAGTCAAATAAACTTCTACAAATGTTTGAATAATTATCTAAACACTCGACAGTGTCCAAAACAGATGCATAATTTTCAAAGTCAAATAGTTTGATACTTAACATTGAATATGAGTTTCATTTTAATGGATGCCTTTTACTAATCCAATTATAATTCTTCATACTCAATAGGCAGTAGGTAGATTTTCCATACTGCATGTGTACGACGCTTTTATTCAATTAAAGTCGCTATAAGTAAATGTTTATATGATTTAACATATAACCGCAACGTACTGTATTTAGAACTTGATACTGCCAGTCATGAAATGACTGGAAGCAAGTCATAAAAGTCTAATTGTCTTGGATCACCTACTCGATAGCAATTAGCTTGTATATATGAAGAACTCAAGCGATTGAGCGAGAAAACTCTGAGTCAGGCTGGCCTTTCATCTAAAGCTATAGCTACTAATAGTTGTATAGAAGATAATGAGCTAATTTTAATTGACTCTAAGCAGAACTCCATATGGCAAAATAGCTGAAAACCAAGAGTATTTCTTTTAATGTAATTATCAAACACAAGATAATATTGTTAAAACTTTCCAGAAATGAAATCAATATTAATGACTACTCGAATATATTTTCTATTTTACCTCAGTCTAACACTAATCTAAAAATTTTAATGTACAACAATGTCTATATTTAATTAGTTTCTTTCTATGATAAATCATATTAATAAACTTATTTTTCTTCTTACTATCATAATTATCTTTTTCATTTGATATCCAAAATGATGTTAATTGTTGTTGTTCATTATTTGTTAAAATAAAATATGCTAATTTTTTTTCTTGAATAATATCATGTAAACGAATTAAATTTGAATCAATCGATAAACATTTTTCTTTAGCTAATTTCCATGTTTGTTTTTTTGAAAAAATTTTTATACATTTTGAACCAAGAATATATTCATCATTGTAACATTGTTCATAACCTAAATAAATATGTTAATAAACAAAAATTAAAACATTTATCTTAATCAATACCATATAAACGAATCCAAAATCCCGATTGACTTAATGTTTCATCTGTTTGAAATTTTAAATTAAATTGATTTTTTACTGTTAATAATGATGCACCAAATGGAATTGTTCCTGAGAAAGATAATAAATTATCATTATCTTGTAAATTAAATGAAAGACTCTTAAATAAATATATAAAAATATTTTATTTTTAATAATTTTAAAAACAAAAAAACAAAAAAAAAGTTGAAATTTTACTTCAACATCAATAATAACATTTGATTTTTTCTTTGATTCAATTGAACAAGTACAATTAATATTATTTGGATATTCATTTGGAAACATTGGACTAATTAAATTCACACCATTTAATGATGTTATACTACGTTCTGAACATATATCAATAATTGTTGAATCTAATAAAAACAAAAAAATTTTACGTTTATTTTAATATATATTTTTATTACATACTTTGAATACATTGATAAGAAATAAATAAATATGTTGCTTCATCTGAACATTTATGAATAAATTGTTGAGTTAATATAACTTCACATTTCGATACACCATTACAAAGTTCAGCTATTTTATGTGTATAATCCATAATACAATCTTTTTCTGATGGTTCACAAACTGATGATGATGAATTAATTCTATCAACTAATTTTTTTGTACCATAATGTGACCAACCAATAAGAATAAATTCATTTGAATTACAATTTATATCCATATGATTAGCAAATTCTTTTTGTGTACATTGAGATTTTGAATACCATTTATCCGATAATGATATATGGAAAATAGAAAATAAAAATAATATTGTCAACATTTTCTTTTAATATATCTAAAAAATACAAAAAGGATTTAGCTTTTTTTTTTTTTTAATTAGCATTCCACTTTTTCGATAGCCGATCGCCCACAGGTAAGCTTTATTTAAAAAGAAGAATCGACTAAAGAATGTGATCTTTGTATTGACATGCCCTAAAGGCTAGGTTATGTATATACATGGTGTCCATTGGTCCGTATGACCAATTAGACGCATGTGTGAGTGGCACCATCAACATATGTTCATCATTCTTAAGTATTCATACACCTTCGTTCATGTTGACCCTGTCTAGAATGCAATGATTGTCAAAGCAAGAAGAAAAAGCCGCCATTTACGGTTTAGTGATCTCATCAAAGATTTCTTTATTTTTTCTCATGCAACCATCATCTTTAATATGAGTATTAGAAGACATGTTACAATATTCACATGCAGTGACATTAAAAAAAAAACTAAATGTCAACATCAAGTGTACTTTTTCATCTGTTTTCTAATAAATATATCAATTCAGTTTGAAAAAAAAACTATTATTTCTTACCCTCATAAGTCAATATAATTTTGAGTTCTCATAGTTCACTATATGTCTACATTCTTGACAAAAAATTACTATTAGTCAGTCGAAATGGACAAGTACTTATCATGCAATGACAAGTATAATGTTCAAGTTTAGAGAGACAGACAGACAGATTGAACAGCTAATTGTAAATGCATACTTCAACAAACTAACTGATAGAAAAAAAGCCTGAAGAATGTTCAATGCAATGTAATCTATAGAAATGATGACACACTACACGAGTGAATACTAAATCACAATTACGTCAAGTCACACGATAGATTTTCTTCCGTCTCAACTAATACTAATGTAAAAAGAAAAAAAAAAGGGATCAATTTCATTTCAATACTATGACGAGGTGAGAAATACGAGCCATTTGAATAATTATAATAAGTGTGTAGAATAAAAAAAGGCAAAAAAATATATATTCAATGGAAATTTCAAGATGCCTATGGACTATTCTTTTTAATATATCGTGCTTTAGTTGAATAAACTTTTTTCTAAAATGATATTACATCATATATTCTTGCTATTCCTATGTCATTATATGAAACTGATGTTTTGTTTTTTAAATCATATCCTTCTATTCATTGCTTTCAAAAGGATTGTTTCTATGTCTTATGTACTTTTTGGTGAATAGTCAAAGGCAACTAATTGTCAATTTTTTAAAAAAAAACCTAATGATTTCACATTTGTCTTGTGCTATGCGTTCTCTCTGATCTCTATACAAGGGGTATAAATCAATGATACTTTACAGACTCTGCCATATATATATATATATATATGTACACATCATGAAAGATCAAACAATATCGATCACTTGATCTTTTCTTTTTTTTTAAGATAAGACTGGACTTTCGAAATGAATACCGCCCTGTCATTCCGTTTGAACTTCTTATTTTTTATTATATAGTTTAGATGAGCATCCATTTGTCAAACTTTCGTTGAGTGAGTGAGTGAATGAATGACATAAGGGAGCGAGAGAACGAGAGAGAGAGAGAGAGAGAGAGAGAGAAAAGTCGTAATCTTCTCAATAATAGTGAAAAGAGGAGGAGACAAAATTGTACGATAGGATCAAATGGCATGCGACGAAACTATCTTACGTCAAACTAAACCAACTTATTATACTTCATTAATTATGAAAATATGTTTATCATATTCTAAACAAGAATGATTAGTTCTATCTAACTAAATGACATTTTTATGAGTCTATAAATCTCATTTTATTTGTCTGCATGGATACACTTATATTATATATATATATATATATATATATTGGTTGTTGTCAGTCTCATAAAATAAATGATCGAATGTTTGTACAAAAATAAGACAAGTCTATATTCTAGAACATAGTAATGGTAAAAATTATCAATAATTATGTTTAAAAAAAAAATTCATTAATATAATAACTATGATCTTCTAATAATAGTCTATTTTCTGTTTAAAATATACTAAAAGATTTCTTATGAAGTATAATATACGTCTATTTCGATTTGCAAAAAAAAAGAAGCATAAAGTAAACTATATGATTATTTGACCTTTTTTTTTCTCCTCTCTTCCTGTTAACCATCTAATTTTTATTCGCAATAGGGAATCTGCTAAAAAAATAATATCCTTTAGTCAAAAATATCTCTTTTATGATTATAAACTTTCACCTGCTCTTGTTTTTGTTTATATATATATACAATTCATTCATTTTCAAATGAAGTCGGATATATATAAAAATGATTCTTTTGATGAAAACAAAATACTAGAGATAGATAAATCGATTGAAGATGTAATCAAGCATAAAAAAAAAAAAGGAAGTGAATTTTAAACTAGAGAAAAGTTTCACACATATGCTCGAAGTCCAACTGTTACAACTCACCCAGACATATACATATACATATAAAATATGTGCGTGTCATCAATAAACGCTTAGTTTATATGAACGATGCTGATCAACATCATCATCATCGTCCACATGCGAAGAAGAAAAATGCTAGTTGAGTACCATCGTTGACCTCCAGCTGTTGAGTGTATAGAAAAAAAAACACATGAATAGACGATACTCAAACAGATCATTGATCATTCATTACTATTCAGTCGTGAGAATCGACTCAGACATATTTCTTTTCAAGGTATATATTGTCAATAATCATTGAAACATATACGAAAGTCACTGAGAACGATAAGGAAAGGCGTGGTTAAATACATATATAAAATGAATACCATCTTTCTTAGTCATAGATGAAATTCTAATGATTTAGTAAGTGAACTTACATACAAAATAATTCTGATTAGCACCAGCTGCTTAAGAGACATATCGTAGTATTCAACCGAAAGTGATTTACGAGTTCAATCTATATATATATATATATATCATGATAAAAAAAAATTCTCTGTCTGACTGTCTGTCTATCATCATTATACATAAAAATAGTCTTGTCTTCTTCCGGAATAGAAACAAAGATCTAACAATGTTTTGCTTATAGACATCATTAAGCATCAGTGAGAAGAATGTGTGTGTATATTCGTCTTACCTTCTTCTATCAATGTTGCCGCTGAGAATGACCATTACATATGCATAGGAAAAGCGAGAGAGAGAGAGAGAGAGAGAAAAGAAAAGGAGAAGAAAAAAGAGGAAGAAAGAGAAAAGAAAAAAAAAATTCTCAAGATCAGGTAGCATTTACATCGAATATGATGTAAGTCAGTCAACGGGTGGAGATTGAAGAAAAAAAAAATTTAATCTATTTTTTCCACATGAATATATTCACAATGTATTTCTAATTCTTTAATAACAATAGAACATTCAGTGTTTGATTTTAATTATCGCTTCCGGGATGGCCTAGTAGTTAATCAAAAAACAAAATAAAATAAAACTTTTTGTTTGTTCTATAAAATTATACAAATCTAATCCAAAAAAAAAAAAATTTAAATTAACAAATTTCTTTCTTTTTCGCTTTACGTTCAATGATCTGTATCCTTAATAGTTGTACCTATCATCATTACTCTATCAATTGTAAATATGTATGTCTATATTCAGTTCAATAATGAGAATACTATAGTCGCCTTAGGGCTTTTTCACATACATTCAATTTAAGCATTTAGACAATCAACAAAATAATCACACGTCATAACTCAATATATTATATGATTTAATTTATGAACGATATTTCTACTATAACAAAAACCACACACACACACACACACTTTGAATGTTCAAGTTTATATTGTAATCTGATTTGATATACAAAAGTGGACGCTTACACATACATAAAAACTGATTTCTTGACATCAACATACATTATTATGTAATAGAAAAGTGTAAACTAATCATATCATAACGTATAAAAATGATTTCAATATATGAATGTACATGTATATTTAAGAAAATTCGAATATACATTTCATTTATTTGCTTACTTAATTATACAAATAAATGAGACGTTTACTTGTACATATTATGAGCTAGGTAATCATTTCCAATATTGTATTATTATTATTATTTGCTCAACTCATGTAAATATTGAATATAGAAAAATAGAAAAAACTACATATTTTTTTTTCTATTTTGTCTCTGAACTTTGAGTACTATACTTCTATTGTTAAGTATATGCAATTGACATGAAAAGTCGGTATAGACAATATGGAATAATAGTTGTACTTATCTAGGTTGATTATTATGATTACAAAGAATTGTCGTCAAACATCGTTCAAAACGACACTAACAAACAAGTATATAAATTTTTTCTTACACAAGATAGGTGATAGTAATCGTTCTCAAAATGTGGAACATAAATAAAAAAAACTAGAACGAGAAAAACTTATTTTATGTGTACTCAATCGAAAATTAGACAAGGTCATTCGTCTATTTAATCGTAATGAAATTTTACTTCATTAAATTCATTTCAAATGTTTTGTTTTTTTTCCTCAAATGTTCATTTGACATGCAAACTAAATACTTGTATTAAATATTCATTAATCGTCTCGATAAATAAAATATATAGAGCGTGGCAACAGGTTGAAACTATGCAACATATAAAAAAATGATAAATATCAAAATCAAAACAATAACAACGATGAAGAAAAACTGATTAGATCAATATCATTTAAAATAGAAAAAAAAAAAAAAGAAAAAGATAAACAGATATCTGTTATTATTTAAGATCAGAAAAGAATATTTTACAGACTATCAATCATCTTTAACGCATCACGTACATATTTATGAACCCTCATTTGATATATGTATATATCTATATATATATGTATGTACGTATCTATCTATAATGTAGTACACGTGCTTACTATTCGATGAGAAAGAAAAAGTTTCACCTCATTTGAATCTTTACTCATCATTTTAAATTACCAATTGTACGATATCGATCTTGATCATTTTCTCTCATGAACATGTCTCTAATTAGAAAGATTTATTTTTTTTCAAAGAAGCTCACACGTTTTAAGATATGGATCA